CCTTTTAGATGGACTTGAGCATCTAGATTTGGCGTATATTAGTTTTCCTCTCCAGCAGCTGCTCTGAACCAAAGAAGTCATCACATCAACTGTTCGTGAGAGCACAGCCAATGATTCATAATAATTTTCAGTCTGATAAACCGGAAGAAAAGGGAAATAGTTACAGGAGAGACCGACCTTGTCGCTGACCCAACCACCGGCGACGCAATGTCCATGATGAGATTTAAGTAACGGATAGCCATATTCCCAAGTAGCCAGCTCATTTTAATTTTCCATTCTCTCAATGCTTTGTTTTTAACCTCTTGTACTCTTTCGCATCTTCAGCCTTCAATCCATCAATAGGATATATAACGACTCCAATCTCTCAATCCCAGTAACTTCAGTTAAGTGATAGCATCCCACAATTTCCAAATCCCACAAGTGCTCCAAAGCAGATAAATCAGGCAGCTTCATAATCGACGGGCAATAAGTAATCACTAATTCTTGTAATGACTCCAATTTGTCAAGCCCCATCACACCACTCAACTGATAACATCTCCTGATCCGTAGAATCAATAAATCCACAAGTTCACCAAGCCCTTGGATTTCAGAGAGGAGTGGACAATCAATAATCTCGAGCTTCCGTAACCTGGTCAAATTTGACAGGTTGGGTAGTTTTCTCAGTATACCACAACCACTTACCCTCAAATCCTTCAGAAGGTCTAGATGTTTGAGGCCATTGAGATTAATTAGATTAGAAGCGCTCGATAAGTGGAAGACTTCCAGCATTCTCAGCTCTCCCAAACCGGCAATCCTGCGTACCCCAATAATACTCAAAGTTAATGATGTCAGACTACTCAGATCCGCAAGGTTCGGTAGTCTCTCCAAAGGCTGACAACCCTGAATCAGTAGGGTGTTCAGAGATGACGGGAGGGTAGGCGAGGAAGAAATAAGGGTTCTCGTACCATGTCGCCGAGAATAATGACTTTGGTCGTTGGGATCAACTGATACTTGGGGAAGGACAAGGGCATCCTTCGCATTCCCAACCTGCATCAACGTCAGATCCTTCAACTTGGACAGCTCCAATAGATTGGGAACCCTAGGCGATGAGAGGGTTAACCGCTTTAAACTTGTGGGGAGTTCAGGTACTTCAATCTGAAGCCCACGTAGGTCCAAGATCGTGAGGGAGGAAAGTTCACCAATGCCAGCAGGAATTTCTCTCAAGCGCGAATATTCCACCTTGATCTCTTGCAGATTTTGAAGCCTTCCAATGTCACCTTTTAACTTTGTTATCTTAGTGTCAGAAAACTTTAGCACCCTGAGATCCTTGAAATTGCCAATGTGAAATTCCCCGCCCATCTTAATACAAAGTGCGAAATTTATCCATTCTAGACTTCTACATCCGAACAAATCCGGAATTTCTTTCATGCCGTCGCATGACGATACAGTTATAGCTTTCAGCCTGCATGCCTCCTGGATAAAAAAAACACACACAACGTTAAACTAGATCCGCTGTTAATATAGCCTTATGTTCTCTTAAGAAAATATGGATGTTAGAACGTTAGAATGCGTGATTTTATAATGTAGATGGTTAGAAATGGATCGTCTCATTAATTATGGAAGTATTTAGGGACTTCAAATCTCTCATTGAAATCTTCAAATTAGGATTTTGTGTAATCTCCAAATGGATGGATAGTGGCAGCCATTTTGACCATATTATCACATAAACATAAATTTAATCTTCATAAAGATGAAATGAAGTAGGAACATTAATAACCTTAATTCTGTCCCAGCATCTCCAGTTATCTCCTACAGGGCACAAGAACAGATCCAGAATTACCAATTTCTTCACATTGAAATCGATAGGGATTGAATGGCAATAATGAAGTTGCAGCCAACATAGATTCGGAAGAATCTTCTTGAAATCTCCAGTCAGCCTTCCACGGCTCACACTGAGATACCTCAACCCTGACAACTTCTGAAATTCCTTCTCCGTGAGCACAAAATCCGCAGCAGTCATGTCAACTATAAGAACTTCCAACCGCTCAGTTCCCTGTTAAAATGAAATCATACCCACAAAAATTTATCCTATCTTGAGCAATAATAACAAAATTGGTAAAGGTGAAGGAAGGGAGAGAATATCATACGGTACAACCAGTAATCTTGTGAATTTCAACACAATGAACTCAATCATTGAGCTCATTTTTGTATACTCTAAGCATCCGAATATCATGTTAACAGCAACTTTGCAGCATGCTTATACAGAAACTTCCATAGAAAGAAAATTTGAAGTACCATACAGATGTATTTCGACTAAAATGATATAAAATGCAAGCATTTTGAAATGCCATCCAAAAATTATGTCAAGGAAGCTAAATCACAAAAATGTAGACAAATAATACCTCTTTATCTCTTAGCATGTCCAGCACATCCTTGTTGGACCACACCCTGCTCCGCTTCCATGGATTTAGAATGTCTTCCTCACGAACAATAGCTCTACCAAGGATTCTATACTGATCGTGCATCCATAATTTATTTCGCTCATTGATTTTTATCAATGACTTTAGACAAAGCGTATCAATCACTATCCGAGGATGTAAATTGCAGTCACTCCAAAAGTAGGACGGTTCATTGTAGTCTTGTCCAATAAAATAACAAGCAATATCAAGAAAAATGTGTTTTTCCTCAGGCGTCAAATCCATATAGATGATCTTCAATCTCTCTTGCACCTTGGCAGGAGGTATGTCCTGTAACTGTGTCAACTTTGCAACCCAAAAACTTTTATCTTTTCGAAAAAGCAGTGAACCTATGGCCTTGACAGCCAAAGGAAGACCTGCTGCAACTTTTATGAAGTCCTCAGATACAGAGATGTACTCTTGGGGGGGATGATCAGTCCCAAAGGCATGTCTACTAAAGAGTTGACGGGCGATATTAGCATTCATTCCCTCTGGCTGGTACAACTCATATTCTTGAAAGAACTTAAAAACTCTTTCATCCACTGTTGTAATAATAAATCGACTCTTTGAGCGAAAATGTGTTAAATCACCCAAGGTATCGGCAAACACAAACCACTCATCTATGTTATCAAGAACAATGAGAATGCTGTTCCAGCAGCAAACTCTGTCTTTTATTTTTTGGATTCCTTGACTAGCATCTCTCACCTTGGTGTCATGCCTTAGAATGTCAGATAGAATCTTGTTTTGTAGAGTAACAATGCCATCACTCTTTGACAGTATGTCTCGAACGTCTTCCACAAAGCAACATCGATCAAATTGTGCACTAACACTGTCATAGACCGCTTTGGCTATATTGGTCTTACCAATACCGCTTATACCTTGAATGCCAACAATTTTCACTCCTTTGTGTAACAGCCCCTTCACTTGCTCAATGTGAGGATCAATTCCAACCAACTGACCCGTCACTAGCTTGTAATTCTCCATCAGATGTGATCTCACCGAAGAAAAAATTTCATCAATAGTAACTCCCTGTCTGGCAATGAAACACAATTTCAATACACAAAGTACACATCCACAGGCAAAGCAAGTGGCTATAAATGATTTAAAGCAAAGAGAATCAAGATATGCACAATCCAGGTCTTTTATTAGTAGACCAGACAAGAGTTACCTAGTTGATGGAGAAACTGTCCATCCCTTTAATTCCCCGACCGTCTGGAGAGCTTTCTTCCATCCAGTTATTGTTTCTGAATCATATTTCTTGGCAAGCTGTCGAAATGATTTCTCAAAAGGACCCTGTTGATACTTCACGTCCCTAGTCTTCACCATATAGAATATGGGAAGGATAATGTGCCCCTTCCCATGATCATAGCACTTCACCATGTGAGCTAGCTCCCGAAGGGGCCAACTACTAGAAGCATAGTCTGGAGAAAAGATTGGGATGTAGATCTTGGATCCTTCGATAGACTTCATGAGTAAGGGACCCATTTCCATCCCCTTGCGCAGCTCTTCCTCATCAAAAAAAGTGCGAATCCCGTTCTTATCCAGGCACGTATAGAGAGAATCTGCGAATTGGTAGCGGACGTCAGCGCCCCTAAAGTTCAGGAAAACCTCGTAGTCTCCAGCTGGAAGTAGGAGGTTCATAGAAGAAGAACCAGAAGACGGGAAAGAAGACTTGGAACGGATGAGAAGGTAAAGTAGTGGGCCGACCAGTAGTACTGACATGAGAAGTACTACTCCGGCCGCTGACCAAAGGACGGACCAGATCATCTGCTCCATCGTCGTCCAAAAACAAATCACACAGGCAGGGAAACCCAGAGCTACAAAGATAACAGAGAGTAAGTAAGCCAAGTTTACTAACGAATTCCCCGAGCGATTGGAAGTAGTAAACATCAATCAGAGGCCTTACCTGAAGAATACCCCATATGGACGAACCCACCAAACTGTCGTCTTAATTTAGGTGAGTAACAAAGGAGGAGAGCAGATCAGCACGAGGGGCAAAGTTGTTGTACCAAAAAAAAAAGCAGGAGTAAGGTTTGTATACATGTTTACCAGTTTGTAGTCAGCCCTTAAAAAGTAGTTAGTCATCGGATAAAGTCGTTAGTCATCATAGTAAAATTCCCTTTTACTCTCCCGCTTCACTAATCTTCTACTCAGTCGTCAATCGGCCACAGATTGCCGGAGCAGCATCACAGTTCCTCTTACATTCATCTCTCCTCGCTGCGGGGGCCCCATCCACACTCGCCACCTGTCTCTCCCGCGCTCCAGCAATTGGCGCCGGCGGCCACAACAACACAGAAACAGACAAAATTCACGTTTCACGAATCGGACTGCACTGCAGCAGCAGCTCATCGACTGAAATGTTCATCAAAAGAAGTTCGGCAATGATGGAGCATTTTTACCATTACACCGAACAGAAGAAGCTGCTGCTGATAAAATGAAACGCGGAGTTTTGGACGGCTATTTTAGAATTTGGCAATCCTTCAAAGACTTTTGCCTGAAGGTTGGCAGGGAGACGGAAGACAACCCAATATAATCTTCTCAATCTGCCGTAGACATGGAGCCATTTCAACGCATGATCGTCAACCCCTCCAAGTTCTCAATTCCAGTAACTTCGGCCAATTGTACGCATCCCATAATATCCAACTCATGCAAATGTTTCAATCCAGATAGATCAGGCAACTTCTTTATCTTGAAATTCGCCATCTTCAGCTGTTGCAATGACTCCAAGTTTTTAAGCCCTACGACCTCGGTCAACCCTGTGCACTCACTAATATCTAAAGTAACGATACTGTCCAAACCAGATAAATCTGGCAGCTCCTTAATTGAACTGCAGCCCGACATAAATAGAAATTCTAGCAAATCCAACATCTCAAGCCCCACAACCTCAGTCAAACCTGTGCACCTACTAATCTCCAGTGAATTCAGATTCTTGAGGCGAGACAAATCTGGCAACTGGGCAATGGATGAGCAATCCACCATGCTGAGTGATGTCAACGACTCTGAGCTCTCAATTATAGCAACCTCAGTCAACTGTGTGCACTCGTCAATAATCAATTTCTCCAGATTTCTAAGACCAGATAGGTCCGGCAACTTCCTAATTGATTTGCAGCCTGACATATCCAGAGTTTCTAACAACTCCGATCTTTCAAGTTCTGTAATGTCCATCAACTGTGTGCATCCACCAATACTTAAATTCTTTAAATTCTTGAGACCAGATAGATCAGGCAACTCCCTCATTGATGTGCAGTATACCATACTTAGCGATGTCAAGGACTCCAATTTCTCAAGCCCATATACCGTGGTCAGCTCTCCGAACCCAGAAATCAATAACGTCTCGATATCCCGAAGACCAGAGAGATCAAGAAACCGTTCTCGTGACGAGAGATGGTCACCATAGGTATCATACAGGTATAGCTCTCTCAGTCTAGTTAACTTCAAGACAGAATGCAGCAGTGATTCCGCTGGACAATCAACAATGTATATAGTCGCCAAAGAGAGCTCTCCTAGCTCTCCTATGCCTTGAATTTCAGAGAGGCACCTACAGGAAACAATCTCTAGTAGCTCTAACTTGGTCAAATTTGATACACTAGGCAGTTTCTCCAGTACATCACAGCCTTCCACCTTGAGTGTTTTCAGAAGCAATAGATTTTCAAGGCCATTCAGATGAATTAGATTTGGAGCACCGTCTATCACCAAAGTTTCCAGCATTGCCAGATCTCCCAAACCCTGAATCTCTCGTATCTGAATCCCCATCAAGCTTAGCTCCTTCAGATTGTTCAGATTAGCAAGGGTTGGCAGTCTCTCCAAAGGCTCAGATCCATGAATCAAAAGGCTGTTGAGCGAGGATGGAAAAGTAGATGAAATAACTCCACTATTAGAAAACGATGTGGGACGAAGCTCAAGTTTCTTCAACTTGGATAGCTTCCATATATCACCAGGAATTTCAACCTGATCACCTCCTTCAAAGGATAGCTCTTCCAAGTCTTTAAGCTCAGAAAGGTTGGGAACCCGGGGGGACGAGAGGGATAACTTCTTTAAACTGGTGGGGAGTACAACTATTGCTCCTACTTCCTGCAACTGTGGCTTAAGTGACGTCAGCGTCAAGATTTCAAGAGAGGGCAACCTGCTGATACCAGAAGGTAATTCTGTCAAATCTCCTGCATTAATCTCTTGTAGAGTTTTATGCCTTCCAATGTCGCCGGTTAACTTTGTTATTTCAGTAATGAAGAGGCTAAGCACTTTTAGGTTCTTGAAATTGCCAATGTGTAGTTCCCCACTCATCTCCCCACAGTACCAAAAATGGATGAACTCGAGAATTCTGCACTGGGACAAGTCGGGAGCTGTTCTTAACTTGCCGCAAAAAGATAGATTTATAGCTTTCAGCTTGCGTGCCGCCTGTAGTGCAAAAGTTGCAATTGATCAGAGCACTTGAAAATTGGAAATTACACCAGCTTCACAAAATTTTGTTATCACTGAAATACAAGTGAAATCCAAGAAATAATAGAGGGAAACTGATGACCTTAATTCCAATCCAACCTCCCCAATCATCTTCCACAGGGCAATTATGCATATCAAGAATTACTAGTTTCTTCAGACTAAGATCAATGGGAATTAAGCTACACTCATGCAGTCGAAGCCAACGTAAATCAGGCAGAATTCCTTGAAAATCTCCAGACAGTCTTCCATACTGCACTTCAAGAAACCGTAGTCCTGGTAACCTCTTAAATTCTTTATCAGTCAGCTCGAAATTTCTGTCCACCATGTTAACTCTGAGAATTTTCACCAGGTCGTTTTCCTGAAAAATAATACGACACCAGTAAGTTCTTCACAGCATCTACGTTGTTTACAGATCCCAATTGGTCTTCAGTTAGTATTCTTCCTCAGGCAATTTGAGATGATTATCTTATAGTCTCGTTAGACTAGCATGTTGAGTTTCTAGATCTTATTATTTATTTTTACGTATACTACAAACGAAAGCAAGGAACACAAAGTCTTTAAAAAAAGGAGGAATAAATCATTAGAAGATGCAATTGATCATATGAACAACCCAACCATGGAAGCAATTAAGACGGAGGGAACTCATATGACCAAGTAAGATTTAAAAGAAAATGAAAACTATTACTATCTACACCTATCAAATTAATATACTAAGGAAATACACAAAAAAATATTGTAATGAAATCACGAAACTGCTAAATTAATATACCTCTTCCCTTTCTAATATGTCCAACGCATCTTCATTAGACAAGATCCTGCTGCGTTTCCAAGGATGTTGATTATCTTCCTCACGAATAATTGATCTGCCAAGATCTCTGATGAGGTCATGCATCCAAAATTCATTTCTCTCATCAAATTTTATCAACGACCTATGCACGAGAGTGCTGATTCCACTTACAGGATACAAATTACAATCACTCCACAAATAAAAAGGAAACTCTCTCTTTTCTCCAATAAAAGAACAGGCAATATCAAGGAAGATTTGTTGTTCATTGTAGCTCAAGTCATTATAAGTTACTTTTAATCTCTCTAGTACCTGACTAGGAGCTATGTCTTTCAATTCTTCCAACTTCTCTTCCCAAAAATTTCGATCTCTACGAAACAAAAGGGAACCAGTGATCTTAAGAGACAGAGGTATCCGTGTTGCAACTTCTACAAACTCCTTAGATCGAGTTACTTCTTCCTTTGGAGGATGATTTGTTCTAAAGGCATGTTTGCTAAAAAGTTGAAGACCATGATCATGACTCATTTCTCCAGGTTCGTACATCTTAGATTCTTGAAGAACTTCCAAAACCCTTGTGTCCCTTGTTGTAACAATAAATCTACTTTCCGAAGAGAAATCATCCAATTTTCCCAACATTTGGTCAAATTCAAACCGATCATCCACGTTATCAAGAACAATGAGAACCTTGTGTTGACAAACTCTCTCTCTTATCATGCGGATTCCTTCGCTAGCATCTTTAACCTTGTAATCAATCCTCAAAATACCAGAAATGATCTTACTCTGCAAATTTATGATACCATCGTGCCCCACCAGTATTTCTCTTACATCTTCCACAAAACAATAACGATCTAACTGTGCACGAACCTCATTGTAGACAGCTTTCGCTATAGTGGTCTTGCCAATACCACCCATACCATAAATACCAACAATTTCCACACCTCCACCGCCTAAATTTAGCAGCTTAGTCACTTCTTCTACATGAGAATCAATTCCAATCAACTCATCTGTCTCTAAAGTGTAGCTCTCAGTCAGGAGTGACCATACCTCAGCCACAACCTGATCTACAATAGCTCCTTGCCTGGAAGTTGAACACACGATTGACTTCAATGGAGAAAACCCCAACCGAACAAGTATCTAGATCTAGATAGTTTACTTCCTCCATTTTTAATTTTCCATACTATTTAAGAGCTGAAGACGTCTACCTATATGTATCAGATGCAAAGATGCAGCAGTATAAACTTAGGTCCATGGATATGAACATGTAATAGATGTGTATGTATATGTATATGTATATGTATATGTATATGTATATGTATGGTTGTGTCTTCGGTGCACTCACTTTTTTGGGTGCATTCAATGCACCCGCCTCATAATCGTCATTCTGAACAGGCGGTTCATGTGAAAACGATGTCAATCATCCCTTGTAGTATGATGAACAAGAACCACATGAATTTGTACAAAAATTATTCAAGATTCACTTTAATTTGAATGATTCAGGGTTTAGGAATTTAGGGTTAGGGTTAGGGTTTACAATTTGGGATTTTGGGTTTAGATTCAAAATTGAATGTTAATAGGTTAGGGTAATGGGTTGATTAGTTGTGATTCTGTGTTATATCATCATATGAGACTAATGTTATCCATTAAATTTCAAAAATTTATGTATTATGACCACTTTTAGAGGTGGGTGCACTGAATGCACCCAAAAAAGTGAGTGCACCGAAGTAGCCACCGTATATGTATATGTATATGTATATGTATATGTATATAGACTATAGAGAGAGAGGAGGAAGTATAAGTTACCCATCTGATTCAGTAACGTTCCATCCCTTCATATTCCCGACCTCCCTGAGAGCTTCTTTCCATTCCTCAATCGTCTCTGTATCAAGCTTCTCGTTCTTCATGTGCTGTTGAAATGCTTCCTTGTAAGAACCATCTTGATGCCGCACATCTCTAGGCTCCACCATGAAGAAAATGGGCAGTATGGTGTGGCCTTTTCCTTGCTTGCAGCACTTCAACATCTGAGCTAGCTCCTGGAGGCACCACTTACTCCAAGCATAGTTCGGAGAAAAAATCGGAATGTATACCTTCGATTCTTCAATAGCCTTGATAAGGGAAGGTGCAATCTTCTCTCCCTTACGTAGCGATTCATCATCAAGAAACGTCCGGATGTTGTACCGAACCAGGAATTTATGGAGAAAATCAGCTAAGTTTGCACGGACATCAGGGCCTCTGAAGCTCAGGAAGACCTCATACTCCACCGGCGACAAGGAAGGGGAGGATGATGCTTGCTGCTGCTCTGCCGATGACTCTGATTGTGACAAAGGGGTACCTTCCGTTGGTAAATCCCTCCTCCTCGAAAAGAAAGATATGGCCACCGCCAAGAAAACGACCACTGCCGAGAAGATTAACCAGATGACCCAGCTCTTCCGATCCATATCTCTTCTTAAACAAGTAACTGGGAGTGAATAAATCTCAAGACAATGGGAAAAACACCACTCTGAAATTAAGTTGAAGATATAGAAAACTCCATATCTCTTACCGGCTGTTTGGATGAGAAATGGACGATCCTAAACAGTAGACTTTTCCACAAAGACTTTGGGGTCCTGCCCCGAACGAAAATGAGGAGCTTAACCAAGGAGAAACCGAGTACAGCAGGCGAGAAAGGAAAAGATATCCAAATCACCATTCGCCTTCCTCCCCGATTAAACCGAACGCAGCATTGAGATCTCGAGGCATCCAATTCCATCCTCTTCTGGACCAAATTGGCTGAGCGTGATTCCTCCGAACACTTCGAAACCGCTACCATTTCTCTGCCTCGATCACGAAACACTACCACGGCACCGCCGGGGAAGAAACCCTAACTAAACAGCCGGGCACTGACGTCTGCTTCGATCTGGTAGTTACTCTTCCAATTCGCCATCGGGAGGAGCCGGAGAAGGACGAAGATTCTTGAGAGCAAAGCAGCGAGATCGAGTGAGCAAGGCGTGGTACGGCATTGATTGAAAGGATTTGCCGGGACCAGAGAAATTGGCGGGAAAATGTGCTGGAAGCCTGGAACAGTTCTTCAGATAGCCGGCGGGTGATGACGGTAAGGTTTTGGCCTTTGGGAGAGAACAATACGTCGGAGATAGAATACGATGGGGAACAGAGAGTTGGCCCGTTGAGAAGTGAGATCAAACTTGGGCCTTCACCCTCCAGCCCACTACCCTTTCCTTCAAAAGATAAACGGGCTGGGCCGAGTGTTTTGCTATGCATCCTCTGGAAAACAGAAAACTTAACTATATATGCTTCAGTCACATGCCACCCGTTCATTTTCCCAACTTTCTTCCATTCCTTCACTGTTTTTCATCATATTTTTCACTGTTTTGTCCAAATGCTTTCTTGTAAGAACTCTCTTGAATCTTGATGCCGCACATCTCTAAGAACTAAGATTCACCAGAAGAAAAAACAGAAAGGAGAGGATGAGGCCAAACGACGTAGTTTAGCAAAATATCAACCAAACTTTTGAAGTTTTAGTGTTTACTAGTTAAACCAGCAACCGGTACTATTGTGTTGGTTATCGATTAAACTGTTTATCACCCCAACAGCTAATCCGTGAACAGCCAACCAGCGCACTAGTTCCAGACAATGGACCCAGCCTACACTAGGGGTGTGCAACGGTTCGGTTCGGTCCGGACCGGACCAAACTCAAAAGAACCGCGGTCCATTAGTGAAAGACATGTTAGGACCAAGGACCGGACCATTCTTGCATTTGGTCCATTTGGTCCGGTTCGGTCCGGTCCAAATATGAACTCGGTCCACCATTTCTTCAGTAATTATAAAATTCATGAGGACCAAGGACCGGACCGTATTTTACTCGGTCTGGTCTGATCCGGTCTTAACAACGGTGTGGTCCGGTGTGGTCCGGCACGGACCGGACCATTGCACACCCCTAGCCTACACCAAGCCAGCCCAACCATAGAACCCAAGCGATGTTCATAAAAGAAATTAATACTGAATATACTTCCTTCTAAATATCTTGCTGGCCATTTCAACGCATGATCGTCAACCCCTCCAAGTTCTCAATTCCAGTAACTTCGGCCAATTCGACACATCCCGTAATATCCAACTCATGCAAATGCTTCAAGCCAGATAGATCAGGCAACTTCTTTATCCTGCAATTCGCCATCTTCAGCTGTTGCAATGACTCCAGGTATTCAAGCCCCACAACCTCGGTCAACCTTGTGCACTCACTAATATCTAAAGTAACGATACTGTCCAAACCAGATAAATCTGGCAGCTCCTTAATTGAACTGCAGCCCGACATAAATAGATATTCTAGCAAATCCAACATCTCAAGCCCCACAACCTCAGTCAAACCTGTGCACCTACTAATCTCCAGTGAATTCAGAATCTTGAGGCGAGATAAATCTGGCAACTGGGCAATGGATGAGCAATCCGCCATGCTGAGTGATGTCAACGACTCTGAACCCTCGAGTATAGCAACCTCAGTCAACTGTGTGCACTCATCAATAATCAATTTCTCCAGATTTTTAAGACCAGATAGATCCGGCAACTTCTTAATTGACTTGCAGCCTGACATATCTATCGATTCTAATGACTCCAATTGCTCAAGTCCTCTAATCTCCATCAACTGTGTGCATCCAGCAATATTTAAAACCTTCAGATTCTTGAGACCAGATAGATCAGGCAATTCCCTCATCGACGTGCAATCTGACATACATAGCAATGTCAAGAAGTCCAATCTCTCAAGCCCATATACATTGGCCAACCCTTTGAACCCAAAAAGAAATAACTTCTTGATATCCCGAAGACCAGACAGATCAAGAAACTGTTCTCGAGACGAGAGATGGTGACCATCGGTCTCGAAAGGATACAGGTATAGCTCTCTCAGTCTACCTAACTTCCAGACAGAACGCAGCAGTGATTCCGCTGGACAATCAACAATGTATAGAGTCGACAAAGACAGCTCCCCTAGCTCTCCTAGGCCTTGAATTTCAGAGAGGCTCCTGCAGGAAATTATCTCTAGTACCTCTAACTTGGTCAAATTTGATATACTAGGCAGTTTCTCCAGTACATCACAGCCTTCCACCTTGAGTGTCTTCAGAAGCAATAGATTTTCAAGGCCATTGAGATGAATTAGATTTGGAGCATTGGATATCACCAAAGTTTCCAGCATTTCCATATCTCCCAAACCCTGAATCTCTCGTACCTGAATCCTCATCAATTTTAGCTCCTTCAGATTGTTCAGATTAGCAAGGCTTGGCAGTCTCACCAAAGGCTCACATCCATGAATCAAAAGGCTGTTTAGCGAGGATGGAAGGGTAGAAGAAATCATACCACTGTTAGAAAAAGATGAGTCCCGAAGCTCAAGCGTTTTCAGCTTGGACATCTTCCATATATCTCCCGGAATTTCAAGCTGATCACATCGCTCAAAGGAAAGCTCTTCCAAGTCCTGGAGCTCTGAAAGGTTGGGAACCTGGGAGGACGAGAGGGACAAGTGCTTTAAACTTGTGGGGAGTACTACTACTACTTCCTGCGACTGTGGCTTAAGTGATGTCAGCTTCAAGATTTTCAGAGAGGATAACCTGCTGATGCCAGAAGGCAATTCTATCAAATGCCCCGAGTCGATTGCTTGGAGATTTTTAAGCCTTCCAATGTTGCCGGTTAACTTTGTTATTTCAGTCATGGTGAGGCTAAGCACTGTTAGATTCTTGAAATTGCCAATGTGCAGTTCCCCACTCATTTCCCAACAGTTCCAGAAATGTATGAACTCAAGACTTCTGCACTGGGACAAGTCGGGAGCTGTTCTTAACTTGCCGCAAAACGATAGATTTATAGCTTTCAGCTTACGTGCAGCCTGTACCAAAGAATTTGAAATACAACAGTTACACATGCATCAGAGAAATTTACTATTGTTGATTGACATAGAAGTGAAAATGGAAGAAATTAGGAAAACTAGATAACCTTAATTCCGCTCCAGCCTCCCCAACCATCTTCCACTGGGCAACCATGCATATCAAGAATTACCAATTTCTTCAGATTAAGATCACTGGGAACTGAGCTACACTCGTGCAGTCGAAGCCAACGCACATGTGGTAGAATTCCTCTAAAATCTCCAGTCAGTCTTCCATTATGCACTTCAAGATACCTTAATCCTGACAACTTCTTAAAGTTTTTATCTGTCAGCTCAAGATCTGTTTCTGCCATGTTAACTCTAAGAACTTCCACCAGGTCACTTCCCTGAAAAATGAAATAACAATCGTAATTTCTGTAAGCATTCAACTTTGTTGGAGCAATCATAATGGGTCCCTCAGTTGGTATTCTTACTCGGTACTTACACTTACAGAAACAATTGATCATATTCATCAAATGATGATTATAAACAAATAAAAGAAACAATTGATCCTATAAAGTTTTCAACCATATATCACGTATAGTGAACTAAGATGGATGAGGGTATCAAAAACCAATACGATTGAAAGAGAAAGGGGAAAATTACAATATATAAATGCCAAATATGGTAAGAAAATACTCAAGAGTAATTCTCTAATGAAAATCACAAAACCATGAAACTCAATACCTCTTCACTTTCTAACAAGTCCAAGGCATCTACATTTGACCATATCCTGCTGCGCTTCCAAGGATGTAGATTGTCTTCCTCACGAATAATTGTTCTACCAAGATCTCTGATTAGGTCATGCATCCAGAACTCATTTCTCTCATTCAATTTTAGCAAGGACCTGTCCACAAGAGTCCTGATTCCAGGGACAGGATGAAAGTTACAATCACTCCACATGTACTCAGGAAAGTCTTTCTTTTCTCCAATAAAGGAGCAAGAAATATCAAGGAAGATTTGTCGAACATTGTACTCCAAATCATTATAACTTATTTTTAGTCTCTCAAGCACCTCAGTAGGAGGTATATCTTTCAACTCTATCAATTTTGCTTCCCAAAATATCCTATCTCTGTGAAACAGAAGCGAACCAAAGACCTTTAGAGTCAAAGGATGCCCCGTTGCAACTGTTACAAACTTCTTGCTTAGAACTGCTTCTTCCTTTGGAGGATTATCTGTTCTGAATGCATGCTTGCTAAAAAGTTGAAGAGCATGATCATGGCTCATTTCTCTGGGTTCATACAACTTAGATTCTCCAAGAAATTCCAAAACCCTTTTGTTCCTTGTCGTAATAATAAATCTACTCTTCGGAAAGAAATCATCCAAATTTCCCAAGGTTTGGTTAAATCTAAACCGATCATCCACATCATCAAGAACAATGAGAACCTTGCGCTTGAAAACTCTCTCTTTTATTACACGGATTCCTTCCTTAGCATCTTTAACCTTGTGATCAGTCCTCAGGATGCCAGAGATGATCTTACTCTGCAAATTTATGACCCCATCGTGTCCCAAAAGTATCTCTCGCACATCTTCCACAAAACAATAATAATCTAACTGTCCACGAACCTTATTATACACAGCCTTGGCTATAGTGGTCTTACCAATACCGGCCATACCATAAATACCAACAATCTTCACACCTTCATAGCCTAAATTTAGCAGGTTTGTCACTTCTTCTACATGTGAGTCGATTCCAACCAACTCATCTGTCACTAAAGTGTAACTCGTATCCAGGTGCTTCCTCACCTTTTCCACAACCTCTTTTGCAATAGCTCCTTGCCTGGAAATTGAACACAAGTTTTACTTCAACGGGAAATAGCCAACTGCAGAAAATATCTGTATCGAGATAGTTCACTTCCAGTTTCAATTTGTAAAACTATTAAGAGAAGAGTCCTCTATATATATTGAGAATGAGATGCAAAGCTGCAGCAGTATAATCTGAGGTCCATGAATACATATCTACATACAGATATATACCTTACCCATCTGATTTAGTAACGTGCCATCCCTTTAGTTTCCCGACTTCCCGGAGAGCTTCTTCAAATTCCTTAATCGTGCCTGCATCAAGCTTCTTCTTCTTGATGAGCTGTTTAAATGGCTCCTTGTAAGCACCCTCTTGACGCCGCACATCACCGGGCTCCGTCATAAAGAAAATGGGCAAAATGATGTGGTCCTTCTCTTGCTTGCAGCACTTCAACATCTGAGCTAGCTCCTGAAGGCACGATTTACTCCCAGCATAGTCGGGAGAAAAGATCGGAATGTACACCTTCGATTCTTCAATAGCCTTGATGAGTGCAGGATCAATCTTCTCCCCCTTAGGAAGCTCTTCGTCATCGCGAAAGGTCCGAATGTTCTCACGAACTAGGAATGTATAGAGAAAATCCCCAAAGTTGTTACGGACATCAGGGCCTCTAAAGCTCAGGAAGACCTCATACTCCATCGGCGACGAGGAAGGAGCCGCGGATGCTTGTTGCTGCTCCATTGATGATTCTGACTTCGAAGAAGAAGAATCGTCCAATGGTTTAGAGCTGCTCTTGGTAAAGAAGGGTATAGCCACCGCGAGGAGTAGTCCGACCACCGCCGAGACGATTAACCACATGATCCAGCTCTTCCGATCCATATCTCTTCTGAAACAAGTAGCTGAGAGCGAATAAATCTCAAGACAATGGGAAACTCCACTCCAAAATTATGTTGAAGATATCAAAAGCCCCCTATCTCTTGCCGGCTGTTTGGATGAGAAATGGACGATCCTAAACAGTTGACTTCTGCATAACAAATTAACTGTGGGGTCCTGATACGAACGAAATCAAACGAGAAAGTTCGCCCTAGACCTAGAGGCACCTCTACTTCGATACTCGATGAATCAAGGAGAAACCGAGAACGCAGGCGAGAAAGGAAAAGAAACCCTAACCACCATTCTCGTTCCTCGGCCGATAAACGGAACGAAGCCATGAGATGTCCAGGCATCCAACTACATCGTCTTCTGGACCAAATCGGCTTCAAATAATACTCCGAAACCGCTGTCATTTTCTGCCTCGATCTGACGAGCCACAACAGCATAGCCGGAAGACACCCTAACTAAACCGCCGGACACTGACTTCTGCTTCGACCTGGCAGTTACTCTTCCAATTCGCCATCACCCGCCGGCTATCGATTGAAATGATTTGCCGCGACGAGAGAAATTGGCGGGGGAAATGTGGTGGAAGTTGGAACAGTTTTGCAGATAGCCGGCGGGTTATGACGGCGAGCAAAACCGTCAAAGATAGGGAAAAGAGGCCAGACCGTTGGACCGTCGGGAACTGAGATCAAACATGGGCCTTCATCCTCCAGCCCACTTATCTTTCCTTTTAAAAGATGAACGGGCTGGGCCGACTTTTATTTTTGTTCATTCTCTGGACCCACCGCCAGTCCGCCACAGCAGGAGGAGGCGGACGGCTGAGGAAATTCGGGAACCCACGCAAAAAGGAGGAAACGAGAATAAAAAAACGCCAAAACGCAAAACTTTTTGCATTCTCAAAAACAAACAAACGCAATTGAATGTTAATTTGGCACGGCTGTAGTTTTTGGAGAAGTAGTTTTTAGAAAAATAATTTTCAAAAACTATATTTGAGTGTTTGGGTGAAAAATTATAATAATTTTTTTTAATATAAGAAGTTATGTAAAATGACTATAAAGAACTTATAATATAAAATATGAACAAAAATTATAAACAATAAAAAGTAGTGAATATGGATCTTGTTAGATGTTTTTTATATTAAATAATATGATTTTATAATTTATTTTATTTTTAGAATGATATAAATGAAATAAAATTATATTTTCTTAAATAAAATTATATTTTCTTAAATAAAATTAAAATATGATAACGATAATCTTGTCATAAACCAGTTGGTCTATCACGCCCCCTCAAAACGAAAGTCAACTCACGGGCTTGAAGTTTGCAGAGGCAATCATCATACCTTGTGCTTTAATCAACTGTTAATATTGCGGGTTGTGGAGATTCGAACACACGGCCACTTGGTCAAACCAGCTCTGATACCATGTCATAAACCGGTTATTCTCAATAACTCGAGTTGTTGGAAGAAGGTTATGTTGGATCTTATCCCTCTCTACACTCTCCCTCAAACGAAAGTCAGTAAACCCATAAAGGCTTTTGTTTGCACATGTCCTGACTCCTGAATACAAGAATACATGTGCTTCACAAATGGGGTCATCGGGATTCGAACACAAGACACATTGGTAACAAATGGCTCTGATACCATGCCAAAAACCAGTTGATCCCAATAACTCGAATTATTGAAAAATGTTATGATGTACCACTTCATCAACACTCAAGAGGTAGAGTCTGTTAGACATAGCTTTATCTCCGTAATGCTTTCTTTCCTGCTTCATTCGGCAGAATCGGCCAATCGGGTTGACCATGTTGCTTCTTTTGTGCTTTCTATTTGATATTTACAGTTTTCCTATATCAACTATGAAGAGCTTGTCATTGTCCCTAACAACCTCAAGACAATCAATCTCCCCACCAATCTCATTTGTTATTGTATAATTACTTGCATCAACCCCAAACTTCTCACCTGTATATAAAAGAAAGACAACGAATTTCACATCAAATCAAAGTTATTAGTTGATTGAATCGAATTTCACCAAAACTAATTAAGCTTACTAAGCACATGGAAAGACAATAATTTCTGTTCATGATTATAAAGTTTTTTTCGTATATACCTGCAATGCTTTTGAGCTCCTCAAGTGTACTCGGCAACTTAATCAACTTCCCAAACCTCATGCTTTTCCCTTCATCACCAACATCCTCAACCCTTCTAACCAAATCAGGATGACGACCCATGAAGATGCTCACTCTCAAGCAGCAATCGAGCAACGAACTTCTTCGATCGATTCGCGCACCTGCAGCTGCAGCTTGTGATTTGCCGTTCGCCACGAGGAAATCCACCACGTCTTCGTGATTCCTCTCCATGGCCAGTCCCAGAGCTACTTCTCCACGTCGATTCCTCGAGTGCACGTTGAATCCGTGCACTCGCACGAGCTCCCTCGCGACTCTGAGACTGTTTCGTTCCGCGGCTGAGCATAGCAGATCGCCCTCGATGGTTCGGATTTCGTAGGAGGTGATGTTGGCGTGACTGAGCAGGATCCCGAATATCAGGTTGTGGTTCGATGATATGGCCTCCCATAACGCAGTATTGCCATCCACATCTAAGCAAAAAAAAAATATATATATCGAACGACATTAATTTTATCGTGTCCAGAGTGCTCAAATGTTCTAAATCTAACAAACGAATGAAAGAATCGGGCAATACACATAGTGTCTTTTCGTTACCTCTCAAGTTTACATTGCAACCATATTTGAGGAGCGCTAGCACACACTCTTTGTGCCCCTTTGATGCTGCTATGTGCTGTCACATGAACAAAAGGAGACCGTTAGCATTGTTATGAACCAGTTGATCCCAATAACTCGAGTTGTTGGGAGAAGATTATGTTGGATCTTATACCACATTCTAACACGCCCCCTCAAACGAAAGCCAACTCACGGGCTTGAAATTTGCACAGGCACACCATACCTTGTGCTTTAATCAACTGTTAATATTGGGGGTCGTGGAGATTCGAGCACATGACCACTTGGTCAAACCAGCTCTGATACCATATCATAAACCAGTTAGTCCCAATAACTCGAGTTGTTGGGAGAAGGTTATACTGGATCTTTATACCACACACTAACAAGCATAGAGTAATGAATCTTGTGTTGATTATTGATTGATATAACATATACCAATGGAGTTTTGCCTTTGGAGCCACCGATGTTGGGATCCAACCCTTCCTTGAGCAACTCTTCAAGGAAAAACGCATTGCCAAGGCTTGCCAAGAACAACAAGCTGTAGGAGTTAGCTGTGATCTTTGTCTCTTCCTCGTCTAATTCATTGTCGGGAAATGGAACCATGCCGTAGTTCTTCAAAATCTTGGAGGACATTTTATAATGCTGCAATTGGATAGTGTGGTGGATCCCACAATTAAAAAAAAATAAAGAAAAGAGCCAAAGGTAAACCGGACTGAATCGAATCGGATCAAATGCGTTGTTGGTTATCGTCATCAAAGAAAGAGTTATACTTACGTGGAGGAAGTTCTTGACTATGACAACGGAATCATCGTGATTGCTCCGCATGGCCTCCAAAAGCGTCGTCGTTTTGAGTTGCAACACCTGCGAGAGCACTTTGGTTCGATACGTGAACCTCTGAGGTTTGCCACAAAGTGCGTCAACTTCCCCAAACATGTCGCCGCTGCTTAAGCTCTCGAGCGACAATCTCGTCAACTCTCCATCCAGCCAGGACTGGTCGCTGGTAGTGCTCACGATCTCGACTTCTCCAGAGACGATTATGTACACTTCATCTGGCCGTTCGTTTCGCAAGATGACCTCTTCTCGTGACGGCATGTACTCTGCCCTCATCCCCGAAACCTACACATTACATGATCACTTGTTACAACATTTAATCGGTAGCCTAAACCCTAAATAGATATGTCTGAGACTTACTAGTGACATCAGGGTTCCGAGGGAGACGCCCTTGAAAAGATACACTTGTTGTACCGACGGCAAGAACAAATGTCGGCAAACCTTCCTCCGAATCGATTTGGGAAGCTCTTCAATCAAACGTTGTTGGTTCAATCTCTCGGCCTGGAATCTCAACGACATATAGGCCAACACTTGCTCTTCTAGCCTCCGAGGTAAGCAGTTTCTGTTCACGAAGGTCGACGCTACTTCGATGCTTTTCCTCTGTATACCATTAGCAACGACATTTAGCCACCACATCATCATTCAACCAAAAGAGAGAGATCTCATCTCAACCTCACTCTAAACTTAGGAATGTCAATAGGGTAGGATCGAGACGAGTAATTCGATACTCATATTCATCTCATGCGGCAGATCAAGCTCAAGTCGGATAATTTATCATGGCATGCGGGTCGGAGCAGACAAATTCATATGGGTATATGGGTATATAACTTAAAGTGAAAACATTAGAATTACTGATTTTTTTCGTGAAATAAAATTAAGAAAACACTATAACATGATAAATTTAATTACACTACTATTCAACAATTTGAGGTATACAATTTTATTGTAGCTAAAATATGAGATAATGCAAGTAAAATCCTAAATAATTTAACTAAAATTACATGTGATTTGGCAAAAAAAGATTGAGAATGAAACATGTGCTCAGGATTGTCGGGCGGGGCATACACGGGATAGTACTCGTGCCTAAGGATGACAACAAAACCCGAACCCACGGGTACCCTACCTTACCCAACCCGCGTTGACAGGTTTCGAGTCGGGTTTGTGTTTAAACCCATACACTGTTCACCGGGTAGGGTTGGGTTTGGGTTTAGGGATACCCGCCCACACTTATTCTGTCGCCCTACTCTCCCCAAACCTTTCCCTAATTCTAATTCCCCCAATCTAACTCTCACTACACTTATTCCCTGTGCTTTTATTCAGTGTAATTGTCATTTGTCTGAATTTTCTAGATTGGTGTTTTTATGTATGGATAATTTATATGGGGAAATTGATGTTTGAATTTTATCTTGATAGAAACTTGTTATTGTAATTTTTTTACTACAAAAACTCAAGGACACGCATGAACCCGCATGTTGGATTAGATTTGAGTTTTCCAAACCCAGTGAATTTTACCCCAGGTTTTTTTACGGATAAACCCATAAATTTGGGTCTGACACTACCAACCCGGCCCATTTCCATTCCCTCTCCCACTCAGCCTACGAGGTGGGAATTACCCGCTCCAAAATAAACCGTCAAATTTGATAAACCGAGATGAGTTCAAAATAAACTCTAAACCCAAAGAGAAAGATAAAAAAAAATGAAGTTAGAGGCAATTAATTAGCGACCTTGTTTGGAACTTGTTAATTATACTTACGTACTCCATGGTGCGGCGGGCGCTCTCGACGACGAGGTCGGTCATGTTGCCGATCAAGTAGGCGGTGAGGCCGAGGTTGAAGAGCATGTACCCGGTGATGAAGATCCTCTCCCGCGTGTTCTCCGCCCGGAGGTCGCCGTACCCGACGGTGGTCATGGTGGTGACGGACCAGTACACGGCGACGGTGTACCGCAGCCAGATGCTCGTCTCGTCGCCGTATTTGGCGATGTCGTCGATCCAAGTTCTGCCGCCGTGGTTCTCCTCGGCCAGCAGGAAGAAGAGGCACGCCGCGCAATGTGCTGAAAACAATGCCACCTACGTTTTTAAGTTCAACGTACACCAAATTAGTAGTCCACCTTAACGACACCTAGAAAAATTATTAAAAATTTCCTTCATGAATTGAACCATTGTTTGGAATTTAAATAATCAATAATAATTTTACTCACGCAAGATAGTCTAAAGCACCGGACCGCGAAATAGTTGAACTTGATGTTCTTCTCAAGCCTGCCAAAAGAATCAATATGAACTTTATTATTATTATTTGAGGGGTCATTTAGAAGTTGCGATTGTTAACAAATGTATTATCGTGAATACATGTATAATATATTATGTATGTATTAAAGAATTTGATGTATTGTAAAATAAAGCATTTGGTGTCTTATAAAAAAAAGTAAAGCATTTGGTATGGGTGATTGTGTCAGTATATCAGCTAAAAGCTGAAATAAACAATCTCAACTCAACTATTTGTATTATTATATAAAAAATATTAAAGAAATAATGCATTCTAAAGTCTAAACAATACAAGTATATTGACAATTAAAAAATTACTAACTTCCAAACAAGACTAATTTATTTGTATTATTATTGTTGTTATATTATTATACCTTTTGAAGAGGTGCTCAACTCGGACCAATCGCCAAAACCGGAACAACCCGAGTAGCGAATAACACAACCAGAATTGTTGCTTGCCCGTGAACAAGTGGTACAAGAAATGGTAAGGGATGGTGGATGCCACATCCATGAGAAACCATGTTGATAGGTACCTACAATAATAATAATATCATTAGTTAATTATAATCTCATCTATCTTCAAACTCATCAGCAAAATTTTCCTTAATTGAGATAAAGTGATATGTATATATATTACGTACCTCTTCGCGATCCTTCTAGGGTCGTAGACCATCATATTGGTCTTGGAGTCTATGTAAGCAACGAAGAAGGTCAGAGCTATGTCAGCGATGAAAAACAGGTCGGTTATGGTGTCCACGAGGTAGAGCTCCCCGTGGTGAGAAGTATCCAGGAAGGCGATCTCGAACGGGTAAAACCAGACCGAGTACGCTGCCAACATCACCATAGATGCCTCCCAACATCTGCAATCCCTCAGCCAATTTTTTTTTATGAGAAGTTACATTTGTATGCTTTGGATCAGTTTCACCAATCGCGTCTTGAAGAGACCACAACTAGAGTATAGAGATAATGACCTACGTATTAGATGTGTACCCTCTCTCTCTTCTTAACTGGATTCAAACTCGAACGACTCGAGCAGAAAACGATGGAAAAACGAAACTTATTTTACCTGTATTTTGAATTGAGGGGAGAAATGGTCCGTCCTCTTGATCTCCATGGATCATGGGTTTGGGTTGAAACGCCCAAAGGTGGAAGAACAATCTTGGAGTCATGCACATATATTTTAGCCGATGATGATGAATATTGCTCTTCTTGATATTCGTCATGATCATCACTCTCGGCTCCCATTTCACCACCTTTGATTACGGTTGGTTTCTTGCAAAGCTTTTATTAAATACCAAAAGAGTTTGGCCCTAAGGATCAATCTTAACTACATAGCTAACTTCACATCATTTTTTTTTTGTAGTGAACTAGGAGAAAATTGTTTAAAACGTTGGTAATTATAAATGGCTAATAAATATTATATAGAACATAAAACAAGAGATAAGGAGATATCTTCTAGGGTACAATGTGTTCAATTTTTTGGGGTCCATAATTCCTAGGAAAATTTCCTAGTATAGTCCCCTATAATCACGACCGTCTACACCCTAGTTCATGTTATTAATAAAAAGAACAAGGAGTAGCTTATCAAATCTTGAAACCGCCTTGAAAAGTTAACGTTATTTTTTTTTATAATGGTGATTAAAGAAAAGTTAACGGTATTGTCTTTGTCATATATTATATACTAGAAGAGTTGTAGTTCCTTGTGAATTGTGATAGTACAACAAGTCCCTATAATAAATATATTGATTTATTCCTTACATAAAGGTAATTGATCATCGTTCTCTCAATCTTTTCTCTTAAAAAAATGCTACTACATCTAACTTGATTATCAAATGGCCTTTTCCTATGTTTTGACTTCTGTTTAGAGGTGGCAAATGGGTTGTATTCCATGAATTGGTGGATTGGATTGATAGATTCAATGATCAAATGGATCGGTGGATTCGTAGATTGATGAATTGATTCATAGATCCAAATGACATCCAAGTCTTGGACCAATACGTAAATTTTGAAAATTTTAGGTAATAAATGTCATAATAAAAAATTTTAGGTGCCAAAAATATAATTTCCAATTATATTTTTAGTATAAAAGATAAATTTTAGGTACCAAATTATAAAATACAAAAATATACATATTAAACTGTAAATTGTCAACGATCCATGAATCCGCCAATTCAATCGGATTTGAATAAAATAGATTGAATTTAAATGAATTGGATTCTAAACAATACAAATATAATAACAATTTTACAAAATCAATCACAACTTTCAAACAATCTCTAGCTGCTAAATGAAAAGGAGATAAATTGGAGACAAAGCACTCAACGTGTTATTAATTTCCCAAAACAAAAAACAGAAATTACATCTTCTGTAGAGAAGAAAGAAAAAAATAAGACTACAACGAATTAATCAAACAAAAAGATAATGAACCCTATAAATGGATTTTTCCTTTTTTTTCCCTCCACGTTGTTTTGATCCACAAATAAATGAACTAAATAAATAATCTAGACCCATATAAATCTTCTAAAGTTTCTGTAATATTTTGGCTAATCATACCCTATAGTTCTCGATAATGTGTAATAAATAATCTTTCTAAAACTCATTCACCCTTCACAAATGAGAGGAGGGCCAGAGACCATACTTCAAACGGCCCCGTATTCACAATAAACCCTAATCAATAATTTCAATCTGTGATTAATCAGTAAGTAATTAATAAAATAATTTTTTTTTTAAATAAACCTACGTGGATTGAAATTGATTGATCCCTTCCAAAACGTTGTCGTTCTATGCATCAGAAATCGCAATGGAACATCGGTGGGACGAACGAGTTGATGTCGCCGAAGATCATGTCGTCATGGCTACTCCCGCCGCCGTCTCCGCCGTAGCTGCTCGAGTCTTGGGACCCGAAGTAGGTCTGGATGTCCTCCGGGAAGCTGCACTGCGGCGGCTCGAGCTCGAGGCTCATCGTCGCGGTCGCCGGAGCCGGTTGATGGTGGTGGTGGTGGTGATCGGTTGCTGACGTCATCTCCATCATTTCCTTGAACTTGGAGGACTGGAGGAGGAGGCCCAGGGCGGACGTGGTGTTGGCCGGCCTGCTGATGGGTTGGACCATTGGTTCGATTGGGCTGGGCCGCGGGGGTTGGTGGGTCGGTTGGGTGTGGAAGAAGTTGTTGAGGCCGAGGTTGGGCGGTGAGGTTGGCAGGGTTGGGTTAGGGTTTGGGTGGTTCGGGTCGGTAGCAACTTCGGTTATTCCGGTTTGTTTGGGTTTGAGCCATTTGATGTAACGGCTGAGGTCGAAGTTGGTGACGGCGTTAAGGCCTCGGTACTCTATCGCCGCCATGTCGTACGCCGTGGCAGCTTCTTCTTGAGTGGCTGTGATTGGAAGGAAAGGTTAAGATTAGTCAATGTAATTAAGGAGTAATTGAACTTGGTAGAAGGACAATACTGAATTGAAAAGATAGTTATAGAGACCAATCTCATACTAAATTGTCTGTCCCCCGAGTGATTTTCACATTCCCGTTTTATTCGAATATTGGTAATGTCATGTTAATTGCTCCACCAAAACCTAAAATCCCGATTACTTGAGTTATTGGAGCACAACATTTGTAACTAATTGATGCTATGCATTTACAAAATGCATATAAATATTGGTGGAACAACTACTATCTTCATATTAAGTTTGTGTTAAGCTGGTCAAAGACTCGAATTATTTAATTTTGGGTTTAGTCCCTCTCAAATAGTTGAACCTATAATCTTGATCAAACAACTCATTTATAAGAAGAAGGAAAAAAAACCAACCAAAACCCCATTTAGAAGTCATGAAATAAAATCATTTTATAAGGATGAGATTAGGTTTTGGTGGAGCAATTCTAGGTATCTAAATGATGTGGCATTTGATATATGGTTATATAAATTAGTTAAGACCCTAATTAGCTAGAAGTTGCCCAACCTCCCTACTAAACCTCCATTATAACTGTATCCACTTGTCCCAATCTCAAAATCAGTTAGGCAAAGTAATTAATTAAAGATGTAGTATACGTAGTCCAATTCACAACAGTCTTAATTATACTTATTGCCAAATTAATACCATGGTTTTTGGACAAATGGCTACGTCTTAAATACTTAAGAGTTTAGAGCCAAGAAAACAAACAAACTTCCACTCTCTCAAGGTCCTAGTAGAAGCTTCCCTAATTCTTCCAATTGGCCAAAATAAGGAGATCTAATTAATTAATTCATAATAATCAAATAAATTATTTTATCAAAACAATTCATTCGTCCGTAAATTTTATAATATAATCACTTGAAAACAACTTATTTTGTCGAGTTTTCAACTTTCATTGGGGAAATACAAAGTTAGGGTTTATCATGTGTACGAGCAAAGTAAACACGAAAAGCAGTTATTGTATTAGTGAACTCGATCTGTTCATGGAGAAAAACTAATTCGTATTATCCGGTACTCCAGATCGAGAAGCAAACTTGTATGCTTCATTTTTTATGCAAAAAAACAATAGGATAAGCCATGGAAAAATGCCACTACCATGGTAAAGGTTTGAGTTTATTACTCTTTGGAATTATCTTCTTATAATTTGATAGCTAATTATCTTCTGAATCTCTGCTCAATTAAGGTGACATTTGGGATTGTGATGGAAGGAGAAAGACTTATTTATTACCATAGGTCCCAAGGTAGAGGTACTTGTTGCCAAACACTCTGCCGATCCTGGCTTCCCACCTTCCATTATGGTGATGCCTATTTCCATAACCAAAAACACCCCCAAAACACCAAATTAACTTCACAGAAATTGAGGATTTTTACTGTTTTACAGAACAAGATGATCATGAAATGGTAAAAAAAAAAATCCATTTAAGTATATACCTTGCAACCCCTCTGTACTTCGAAACCCCTCGAGAGAATCCGCTGCTTTTCCTGGCAAGTAATGAAGTCCTGAATTAGCTTCAGTCCCTCTTATCATCGTCATATCATTCAAACCAAAAGAAAGTTTTCGCATGCAACGGAAGAGAACAAAGAAAGAACTGCATAGTCTCGAGAACACTTTTGTACCTTCTGAGCGATCCAATGTACTCTTCTCTCGACTGCCCCTCCATATCCTTGATCTCCTTCTCGTACGTAGCCAACTACAAACAGCAACCAAATGAACCTTACTCCATACTTTTTTTCTTAGAGAAATTTCAACGAAGAAGTTTTGTGTATACATGGAGATGAATAACTTGTTACGAGTTTTTAATTTGTACCGGAAAGTTAAGGATCGTTTCTGGACCCCAGTACTTGAGAGCTGCCAAGTCGTAAGCATGAGCTGCCGCTTCTTCATCATCATAAGCCCCTAGATACACTGGAAAACACGATTCCAATCACAAGAGATAAGATTTCCATGTTAATATATATGAAGAAAAATACAGTATGTTTAGTATCTATACGTACCTTGACGCCCTTTCTTGTTTTGTGTCTCATTCCAGCAGTTCTTATCCCACAAATGAGCTTCATACCGACCCGTCCATCGATGCCTGAACCGACAAAAACACATCCAAAAAAAAAACGTCCAAACACACAAATTATCATCTCGAAAACAGAAAGGTCACGAGTTCGAATCTCTCCGTTAAATTCCTGCTGATCAAAACTCCCCCACCTTGTAACGCCACGGTAGATGGAGCTGCGCTGCGGCGGCGAGTCTCGTGGCACGGTCCTCCTCGTCCTCTTCACCTTCGTCACCCCGCCGCCGCCGCCGTTGATGGAAGCCGACGAAGGAGTCTTGGTGAGCCCGAGCTGCTGCTGCTGCTGCTGCTGGTCACTACTGCTACCACTCCCGTTGGTAATAATACTCCCGTTGCTGTTGGCCCTCTGCTTTCCCATTTGGAGGCGCAGTTGGAAGAGGGGAATTGCACTGTTTTCTTTCTTCTGCTTTCTCTTATCGACCTTGTGTGGAAAGACTAAAATGATCAAATTAAAAAATATGGGAGTAATTAGAAGACTGAATATTTGATGGTTCTCCCAAAGCCCAGTGGCTTATATAAGGAAAGCCGAGCAAGAATAAGGTTGGAGTTTTCGTGGGTTGGCATGGAAATCAGAGCGCAATAGTTAATTAAATTAAATTAAATTAAGTCCATTCTTATTAATTATTATCTTGACAATTTATGAAAGGGGGTTGCCGGCGGTTAAACAGTACGAATTATATATATATATTAATTAATCCATGATTAATAGAAAAAAATATTAAGGAAATGATTATAACGGT